CCCCCCCCGTTCTCGTTGTTATCTTACATGAGGGAGAGAGATGAGCTCTCTCCACAGGCTCTCCTCTCGCCATGACGCACCTCCACCAGTCCTCTAGCCCACGGACCTTGGGAGTGTGTTCCTGGCGTCAGGCTGCCTGGGCACCCCGTGGGAGCCGGCATCTCCTGAGCAGCACATTACCGCCGCCTTAGCCCCTACCGTCTATCACACACTCCGGTTCTGCTGCTGAGAAGCTCCGAATCATCCTAATCCCTGATCTCTTCTATGTGACCTCTTGAGCAACACATTACCACTGAGCCATGGAGAAGCCTGAACGTTTCCCTTGCAGTATTTGAAATTAGCAGGGCAGCTCTTCAAATACGTAATACATACTCACTGACAGCTCTTGGTCTATTTAACTCAGGAAACAGCCACAGAGCGTTTTTCAAGAAACAGATATTTACTTAAAACTCCACTCTATATAATTAAGTTTATGTGCTCTGAGCTGCATGAAAATAAAGAAAAATAAAAAAGGAGAGCAGAAACCCAGCTCAGTATCACTTTGGACTCGAACATCTATGGAGAAGGGATAGCTGAATGACCCGAGTAATACAAATGATAAGGAACAATTTTCCACCTCAAGTCCAGGTTAAGATCTCACAAAACGCAGAGCCTCACTGTGAATGCCACCCTGTGAGCTTCACAAGTGACCAGACTCGCATACATGTGTGACCACGAAAAGCCATGTGAGTTCTTGGAAAATCTGCACACCACGGAGGAGTGGGCACTGTGTATTTCCTGATTAACAGCTTACAGTCTTTAAGCTCTTTCTAATTATAAAAAGCTTTTTATTTTAGTTTGTTCTTTTACGAGAGCAAGAAATGGGGGTTGGGGGTGTGGTGCGAAGAGAGACAAGCTCCCTCAACCAAGTCCCATGACACTGTGAAGCCCCAGCCTTTCTAGCCAGTCAGGACCATGGGCACATGCCTGGCATGTAAGGATCGACCTGCACCCACACCCTCGGCCTCCCCTATGGAGCCCTGTGTTTGAGCGCTCTCACTAGCGCTACGCCGACCTGACTGCTGGGACTTCTCAGAGCAGCTCTCTTGGTAAGCCTAGTTACTTCCTTTTTTAAAATTTATTTACATTTTTTAGAACTATTTTATTAATTTAGTATTTTAATTTGCTATAGGGCATGTGTACTCATGAGAGAGAGAGAGAGAGAATATGAGAAAGCAAGTCACCATGTCCAGGACTTGAATTGTGGTCAGCTGAGTGAAGCGCCCAACCACCACCCACCTGCTGGCCCAAGCTTAGTACTTTCTACATTAACTGCAGAGACCCTACGAAGCTGCAAACACTGAGCACATTTACAGAACAGAAAGGCTTAAATTACTGTTTGGTGGAAATGAGTGGGCGAACATCTGCATTATTCGCTGTATCTTACACATTACTTAACTATAGTTCTGGGCTTTCTGAAAGGTTCCCACATAGTTCAGTATGCTACCTCTATAAACAGACAGGAAGGAAGTGTCCATGTGCCCTGAGGAAGTGTAACTTGGGGTGGCTTACAGCTCTTTTCTTTCTTTCTTTTTTTTTTTTTTTGGAGAGGTTTTTGCTATAGGGTGCGTGCGCTCGTCAGACAGACAGACAGAGAGACAGAAAGCGAGAAATCA